TCGTGTGACTCGGCTTCATTTGTAACGTTACTTGCTTCAATCGTGTGACTCAGTTTAAATGAACGTATTTGTAACGTTACTTGCTTCATTTGCTTCCTTTGTTACCGATTTGAATGCTCTTTGTGAATAGTTACCAGCCCTCACTTGCTTCATTTGCTTCCTTCCACATTCTTGCAAGTCTCTTGCTTATTTTGATGATGATGATGATGATGATGATGATGATGATGATGATGATGATGATGATGATGATGATGATGATGATGATGATGATGATGATGATGATGATGATGATGATGATGATGATGATGAAATGATGATGGTATGATGATGATGATGATTATAGTATCATAGTTATTAATTATTAATTATGATAATTATTTAGATTATAGAAAAATTATCAAATGGATAAACTCATTTAATCCATGAATCCAACAATTCAAATGAGTTATGGTTTCATCCAAACCATTTACTAAATGAATTGGATTAACTCATTATCCATTAGACACTAAATTCATATGGATATGGATTGGATTGGTTTGGTTTAACCAACTTGACACCCCTATCTATACCAAAGGACGGTCCACTACTTACCCATTCTTCCCTTCACTGCCCTAATATAAGAGTAGCTTTTTTGTCAATAGAGGAGTACCTTTCTTCAAGGCATAAATTTTTTATTTTAATTTTAAACATATGACGTTAGAGTAAATTATTAAATTTTTAATTTATTCATCAATCATCATTAGCTAATAATCAAACTTACAAACTAATTATAACTATTAAGTTTAGTTACCCTTTCCAAAGTATATATATATATATATATATATATATATGAAATAATTCGAAAAAAATATACAATCATTCATTAATGCTTAAATTATATATTCAAGTTTAAGATTTTCTTTTAAGAGATTGGGATTTACTTTGGCTCTATAAATATTGTATATTTCATCAAAATTTAAAAAATCAACACTAGTTTTGTGGGTCTCTTTGTTTCTTACAAAATTTCAAAAACAAATTTGGGATTAGTGAGCGAAACAAAGAAGGAAGCTAATTGGTCAGACCTTTGTCCAGACGTGCTTTGCTGTGTTTTCAAACAATTGAGTTTCTCAGATCTTAATTGAGGTAAATCAGTTTGTTCGTCGTGGCATTCTACTTCGAGACATCACGTCCCACCACAATCAGATTTTATGGCTAATTCTCTTTCCGTAACAACACCAATAATAACAACAAGAGTTGTGTGTTGTTTGTTCCAACGATAGAGATAGATTTTACAAAACCAAAGATCTTGGTGTTGGCTTTTTGCATAGTAGTTGTCTAGCTACTTACAGTTGATGGCTTCTAAAGATGGACCGTCTGCAATCTCAATATTTTTAATCATTTAACCAGCGAGAGAATTAATCTACCACTTACAGAGATCGACCTACATGGTTTACTTTAATATTAAGGCTCCGAATGGTAACCGCGTTTTACGGTGTGAGAGAAGTGCGGTATTATAGTGCGGTACGGTTCAACTGCGGGACGTGCGGGAGAAATATATTTGCGGGACAAGTACGGTTTGTATAAAATAAGCGGTACGAAATAATATTTGATTGGTGAAAAAAGCTATTTGCGGGATAAGTGCAGTTTTATATATAAATATATATATATAAATTAATAATTAATTTTTTTTTTTGTTAATAAATAAACAATAACAGATATTTATAAACCATTAATACACAAATTGATCAAAATATAAATTTAATTTTTAAACATACATATTGTTGAATCCGTTGAATAATTTTATCATAAAAAAAAGTACAACACATTAAAAAATATTATCTATTACTTTGATTTTCCCATAACATATTTGCAATATTATCTCTTATTTGCTTCATATATTCTCCATCTCTTATCTCCGTTGCTTCTATGTCATCTATTCTATATTTAAATCATTTACAAGTAGCTTCTATGTCATCTATTCTATATTATCTCATATATTCTATATCATCGGTTATTTCATAAATGATATATATATTTAAATCATTTACAAAAGATACACAATAATTCATATTATTTAGAGAAATTGTTAAAAATGCCCCTTTTTCAATACCCCTTTTCAAAAATACCCCCTTTGAGAGTCCATTTTTAAGTTTGCCCTCTTTTAATTTTTAATGACCATTTTACCCTTATTTGAAACAAAATTAAGTTCATAAAATACAAAATATTTTTTGGCGGGAAAAGTGATCCCGCAATTTTCCCGCCAAAACACTTGTAAAAACCTTTAAAATACCTTGTAAAATTTTACCGCAAAAAATGTTTTTTTGCGGGAAAAGTGATTCAACAATTTTTTTGGCGAAATTTTTTTGGCGGGAAAAATTTACAAGGTATTTTAAAGGTTTTACGGAGTATTTACAAGTGTTTTGTAAGGTTTTACAATGTATTTTAAAAGGTTTTACAAGGTACTTATAAGGTTTTATAAGGTATTTATAACTTATAAAACCTTATAAAAAACTTGTAAAACCTTATAACTTGTAAAACCTTATAAATACGTTGTAAAACCTTTTAAAATACATTGTAAAACCTTATAAATATCCAGTAAAAAACCTTTAAAATACCTTGTAAATTTTTCCCGCCAAAAATTTAACGCCAAAAAAATTGCGGAATCAATTTTTCCGCAAAAAACTTTTTTTGGCGGGAAAAATTCTTACGGGAAAATTTTACAAGGTACTTTAAAGGTTTTACAACTTTTTACAAGTGTTTTGGCGGGAAAAATTGCGGGATTTCTTTTCCCGCCAAAAAATATTTTGTATTTTGTGGACCTAATTTTGTTATATTTTCTTATATATTTGTGATATCTTTTATTAAAAGAAGGGTAATTTAGTCATTTTGTACATAAAAAGGGGTATTTTTAAAAATGGACAGCCAAATGGGGCATTTTTGAAAAGGGGTATTGAAAAAGGGGCATTTTTGTGAGTCTCCCTATTATTTATCATAACCTATTTAAATATTAACATCATTTACATTGATTAATGCAAAATTTTAATTTTTTTTTTTTTCAAATGACACAAATTAACATCAATAATAACAAATGATGAAAATAGTTGCATCACTTTTTTAAATGGACACAAAATATTAGAGTCACCATTTTTTTTTGGGCAAAGAGTCACCATTTATAAATTAAAATATTACCTGAAAATGTGGGAGACTTGAGAATAAATTTTTAAAGAAAAATTATCAAAAAAAAATGTTAAAGTTTGCATTTGTGTATAAAAGAGAAGTTTGTATTTGTTATGAAAGATATTAAAATGTTTGTGTTTGTGTATAAAAAAAATGAAACATGTTTGTGTTTTAACATGTATATGTATTTTGTTAAACAAAAAAAAGGGGAAAAAGCTGTATATGTACTAGTAGTTTTAATTATTTAAAATGCAAAAGCAAGTTTTATTATCCGTTGTATTATTTGTTGCTGCAGTTTTGAAAACCGCTGGATAATGACCAGAAATTTTTTAAAAGGCGGTCCAAGGCTTTAACCGCTGGACAATTCCGCAAATTTTTTTTTTTTTTTTTGAAAAACGCAAATCTGTTCAAAAATGGTGAATGGTGACCAATTGACGGATTTGCTGAAAAAGGTAAAAAAAAACGCCTTTTTTAGTGTTACCATTCACACCCTAAGGGTCCGAATGGTAACAGCGTATTTGGTTATGCGGGAAAAGCAGTTTTATAATGCGGTACAGTTCAACTACGGTATGTGCGGGAAAAATGTATTTGCGGGACAAGTGCGGTTTATACAAAATAAGCGGAACAGAATAATGTTTGATTGGTGAACAATTACTTGCGGTACACAATAATATTTACGAATGGTAAAATAGTAAAAAACATTACGGATTACATATTATAAATAAATATATTGATAATTAATATAATTGTAATTATTGTTGTTTGTGTTAATAAAGAAATATTTTCGTACATTCATGAATCTTAACTATCTAAATTGATTTAAAGCAAAAACTTAGTTTTTTATACATACATATTGCTAAATCAGTTAAAGAGTTCAATTATTACTAATCTAATTTTATTATAAAAAAAAATGAAGAAATATATCTAAGTCTCCTTAAATTATATGGTATTAGGTAACTAAATATACTTTAATAAGTTTTTGTGAAGCTTACTAAATTAGATTATTACTTATACTTTATCTCAAAATTTGTATGAAATAAATTAATTATATTTTTACTTAATTTTATATGCATAAGTTAACTCTTTTGTAAGATAATTTTAAATTAAAAAATAACTTGATTCTTAGAGATAAAGAAAAAAAAATCTGCATTTTTCAAAGCATTTAGAACTATGAATGGATGTATGAAAAAATATGGTGTGCAATACCCATTTTTATAAGCAGAAAGCATTAAAAAAAAATATTATCCAGGGCGTTATTTGATGGACCGCTGGTTATTACCCGTGAAATGATTTTAAACTGTGGTTCATAATTCATTGGGTAATATCACTGCTTCGATTTTCGTATGCGTTTTTACTTTTTATTTTAATCTAAAAACGCAAATGTTGAAAAAAGTTATGAGTGGTGTAATAAAAGTGGTTTTGGGAAAACCACTTTGAATTCCGCACATAGAGGGTTACTATTCACTACCTAATTTGATACCAAAGTTGAAATCTAGCATAGCTTGTCCTCGATTGACGAAAAAACAAAAGATTATATAGTGGTACATGTGGAACCTGGCAAATTTTAGTCTATAACAAGAAAGGTAAACACATGTGGCGTCGACATGTTTTTCCTACTTAAAAAGAATTGTCAAGAGAACCAATGGTTTACCCCCACAAGACTCATAAGCTCTATATATATTTTAAGTATACGTAAAGGATCTGGTGTTTCTCTGGAGAGGATCTACAAGGTATTTTTGAAGATTATGCTCCAATTGAGTTTGTTTTTCAAGACTTTCTCTTTGATAGAAAAAAACGAAGAATAATTATATCTTTTTTTTTTTTTGTCAAAACACTTGCTTTCATTCATCCAAACAAGAACAAGTACAAAGAAAAGGATTTAAGTGATCCAAATTTTAAAGCGGTACAATAGAAGACATTCCCCAATGCCATAAGAAGATAGATAAAGTTCATCGATTTTGAAACCAAGAGAGCTGTGAGGCAAGAGCTTGGGAGCACATTGACACATGTGAGATCATGGTTAATCGAGAGATCATCCTCGAAAGATTCGAAGGACGAAAGAATGGTCACGGTCATGAGACTTTGTGACGTTGATGAAAGAATCGATGCATTGATTCTCGCCGGAGCAAGATGAACTACCCAAAGTAGCGCGACAACAAAGATTCGGAAGACTATGGTGATGTAGTCGATTGAGGATTGCTTTACAACCAAAGCATAAGGTTTAGATCTCTTCGAGAATTCGCAGAATAACCTTTGAAGCATAAGATCCAGGTGATGGGGACATGTGAAGTTAAAGCCATGATTCATAAAGTGATAGGTGTAAAACTGTAACGAAACAGGTGGATCCTCTCTCACATGGATACCTTCCATGGAGATTAAGCATTCCACACAAAGCTTGTCTTAGGTTTGACACATGAAGAAGATAAACATACCATGATAGGGTCCAGGCATTCGAGGAGTTGGCAAAAGGGTGGTGATTGAAGTCGCTATATAGAATTGTCAAGGAATGATTGTTGGCCAAAGAGCTACCAAGGCCATAAGCAAACCGTTGGCCGTTTGAATTCATGGCTAATGTATCATGAGACTTCAAAAATTTGTGAGCAAAAAAAAATTCTAGCAGTGCTTCTGGTCGATATATGAAATTGTGGGAGAGTGGTACTTCGGTATAGAACTTCCAAGACCACTTTCAAGCCTCCGACAATTTAGATTCGGGATCAAAATACCATAGTTCCTTAAGCTTTTAGAATTCACACCCATAGATGAAGATGTTACCGGGATTTGTAGATGTTGAAAGTAAAACCCGAACAATGGAAGTGATTTCTCCAATCGATGGTGTCCTCGGCCATACGCAGTGAGAGAACGACACGACTCTTGTTTAAGGCTCGACAAAGTGAAAAGAGTAGCAGACCTGGGCTTGTTAAACAATGAAGTTGGTTCACATCTCATGGGCTTGGGTCCTCTAAAGCTTGTTGGGCCGAAATTGAATGCAAGGCCCACCAAAGGAAAACCTAGTTTCTCTTTGGCTAACCAAGGTGGTGGTTGAGTTCGGCGGCTGTTCGAGATTTGCGGCAAGGTTTGCGTAGCAGAGACCCTCACCGATGACAGTAAGATCGGCGGTAGCACGCGGTGGCCATGGTCCAAGCTTGAGGCAGAGCACTGAGAGTTTAAAGCCAGAAGAATTTGGGCTATCAGATCCGTCAGTGGAAGTGCGAGCAGAAGGTAAGAGAGGGAGATCGATGGTTTCCACCCTCGTCCTTTGTCGCCAGTTGTTGAGAGCAGGCCCGAAAATAATGGTTTAGATAGGATTCGAGAAAGGCCGCCATGGTATCCGCAAGGACGTTCTTAGTCATGGTATCCGCAAGACCATTGGCTCAGGCTTCGGTACCTACATTTGGACAGACCCATGGATACCAGATACTCCGGCACGCCCACCTAAGGGGTTAGCGGTGGAGAGAGACCCTTTCGCTTGCGTCAATACCTTGATTGAATTTGGATCTAAACAGTGGAAGATGAATTGTCTCCGGGAATTGTTTCCCCCGGAGGAAATTACCCTTATATTAGGGATTAAACCGAGTCGTATTGTCTCGAGTGATGGTTATTGTTGGACAATGACAAAGTCTGGTAATTATACCGTCAAATCTGGATACAAGATCGCGAGACGTATTTCTCGTCCTGTTCGTGACCACCCTTCTCAGGGACCTAGTGTTAAGACACTAAAGGCGCAAGCTTGGAAATTAAAAACTACGCGAAAATTAAAACATTTTGTGTGGCAATGTGTGACTGGATGCTTGGCTTCAAGCCAACGACTATTTTATCGCCATATTGGTAGATATAAAGGATGTTCAAGATGTGGTGCAGAAGAAGAATCAATCAACCACTTGCTCTTTGAATGTCTTCCTGCTAGACAAGTCTGGGCTCTCTCCAACATCCCATCTTCCCCAGCGCTGTTTCCCTCGGCGTTGCTCTACAATAACTTAGATTATCTGTATTGGCGGGTTAAAGAGGCGGGTGCGGATGAAGAGAGCCTTAGAGTATTCCCATGGATTATGTGGTATATTTGGAAGGCGCGCAATCGAAAGATTTTCTAGAATTTGAGCGTACCACCTCAGGAAACGCTAGATCTTGCAACTCAAGAGGAAGGAGCGTGGAGACGAGCAAATCAGAGAGAAGACCCCCAGTCTCAGTTGGTACTTAGTACGCAAGAGTCGTCATCCCTAGAGGACAGACCGGTATGCTTCATTGATGGGTCTTGGCTCGGGACGGAGACTAGAAGTGGACACGGGTGGCTTGTTCTTCAGGGAGGACGACTGCTACACTTAGGCTTAAAAGGCTCGCGTAGAAGTCTTTCTCTCCTTCATGCAGAGCTGAATACTCTCATATGGACGATGAAGTGCTTACTGGCGATCCCAATGACGAGTATCCTCATTCAGACGGATTGTTCCGATCTTTTGGCTATGACCTGTGCTCTGGAAGAGTGGCCTACGTTTTCCACAGAATTGAAGGACTTTACTTATTACAGGGATCGTTTTACTACTTTCAGTCTTAAGCATATCCCTCGTAGTGGTAATACCTCCGCCGATTATCTTGCGAAATGTGCAAGAAATCGCGGGTTCTGTTTTTCTCATGTAAGTTCGACGGTACCTGATTGGCTCTCTCTAGAAGAGAGTCTTATTCCGTGAATTAATATATGGTGTTTGATTGGCAAAAAAAAAAAAAAAAAAAAAAGAGTATGTTGACAACAAGCTAAATATCGCACTCACTATATCTGGAGAAGTCTTGAAAGTAGCTAGTGCCCAAAAGATGGATCTTTTGCATCTACAAGATAAACTATATCAAGCGTCGTTGGAAAATAATTGATTCTTTAGTCGATGAGGCATTGATCTTAGATATGGCTAGCTATTATTGTTGTTGCTAAAGACATCTTCGGGCTCAAAAGAAATTCAATCTTTTTCAATATAGATATGGCAGAAAAGATCCAGACCATATATTTGTCTTTGATCTCACCACCACAAGATTGAAGCCTTGCCATATTGTGTTTCCTCCTCCAATGATTTCTTTGATGTTTGATGGTTCTTCCTGAGTTTTAGTCATTCTTTTCATTAGACTTTACCTGGTGAGTATTTTTATTGTTTCCAAAATTGCCCAAGAATGTTTTACAATAAGCTTTATAATAACAATAATGTAATTCTAAATAACACTATTTTCTAATATTCAATTTATTTCGTAAGATGTTCTTGAGTGGCTTTTTCTATAATTTTAATTTGCTAAAATCTATGTTCTACTTTAATCCAAGGAGTCTTTATTATCTCTACTTTGTTCATATTGATATAATCTTTCACCAAGATGTGTCCAATCTACAAAACGCTCATTCACTGATAGACCTTTTCTATAATCTTTCTTAAAAATTTTACAATAATTTTTTTTTTGCCAAGTCTTTAGAATAAACGAGTCATTCTCTGTTGTAGGCTGGACGTTTGGATATTCGGATTGATTCCATTCGGTTCCGGTATTTTCGGTTCTAGAGTTTAGGATCCATATAGGAATTGGAAAATTTTTGGTTTGGGTTCAGTTTCAGTTCCGGTTCTTTCGGTTCTGAAGTTTAAGATTTTTTCGAGTAATTGTTTTCGGATATTTTGAGGTATTTCAGATATTTTTATGTATTTTCGGATATTTTAGGAATATTTTTGGGTATTTTTGTTTTTTTCCATATATTTTTTGGTAGTTAAGATATTTTTTGTTTATTTAGTCTAAAAATAACTAATATTTTTGACTATATAATTATATTTCGGGTGATCAAAATATTTTGGTTCAGTTCGATTCTGGTGATTTTGTTTCTACAATTTAGGATATGTTTGAATATTTTAAAATTTCGGTTTGGATTTGGTTCGGTTCTTTTTGCTTCGATTCCTGTTTGATCTGCACCTCTTCCGCTCTCTCCAGCGTCGCCCATTCAGCATGAGTCTCACGTTGTGTTTTTTTTTTCAGTTTTCACTAACTTAAATTGATTACTAAAATTGCAAGGTAGATAGATTAGTTCAACGAGTGAGGTTGAGCCTTGAAGCTGCCTTTATTGTTTTGCCTAACATTTATATGTGATTTAAAATTATAATTAGTCTTATTTTTATAAACTAAATTATGTCATAGTCAGAGCTCGACGATAACCGGAACTTATGCCGGACAATACATAATGCAAAGATTTCTTGACCTAAAACTCAAGCCATGGCTCAGAAACTTACTAACACGATGTTTAGCTATAATCCCGAGTCTAATCGTTTCTCTCATTGGTGGTTCTGCTGGAGCCGGAAAGTTAATCATCATTGCCTCGGTGATCTTGTCCTTTGAGCTCCCGTTCGCGCTGGTTCCCCTCTTGAAATGTACAAGCTGCAAAACCAAGATGGGTTCACACGTCAACTCAATTTGGATCACAGCTTTGACTTGGATTATTGGATTACTCATCATGGGAATAAACATATACTATATAGTAACCAGTTTCATCAAGCTGCTTCTCCATAGTCATATGATGCTTGTCGCCGTCATCTTCTGTGGAATTCTTGGGTTCGCAGGTATTGCTATCTATTTAGCGTCCATAGCTTACCTTGTCTTTAGGAAAATAAATAAATAAATAAATTATGTCATAGTCTAATAGTAGTTGTTAACTTTTTACTGTTTCTTCAGTTGCATTTAAATTCCGGTCTAAAGGTGGTGTATAACTTGTAAGAAAATCAAATTTCTTTAAAGATAGTATAAATTTCACAAAAATCTTCTATTTATTCATGAAAATGAGCTAAAATAATAGTACAGATTTTGAACTTTGTTTGCATACAATTGTAAGATTTTTTATTATAATGCAAAAATTCTATTAATTAGTAATTATTTTACAAGGGTTAATTTCGAAGTTGTGATGTTTAAAATATGTATATCCAACATGTCACTTTAAACACTTTAAGCATTTTTCTTTATCGAAGGAATTAAAAGTGTTATAAAACCAAAATAGATGCCTGAAATCCCAAAATACGGATTGCAAGAAAGTCGTTTGATATTTTCTACCCATTAAATTGTTTATTTGACCATTTATAAAAAAGTGAGAGTTTAAAAACCCACAAAAAAGTTGAGAGTTTTATATATATATATATATATATATATATATATATATATATATATATATTTTAAAGAAAAGTGAGGGTTTTTCTACCCATTTTTCTGTTTTATGCACGTGTAAAATTATACTTTTTATCATAAAAAGTTCATGTAAATTAGAGGTAATAGAGGTGATGCATGTTATAAGAAAAATTAAAAGAGAAACATGAAGGGGTCTTTTTCACGGATAAAAAAACTGTAATTAGATATTATCTTCTTTATGTCCTCTTAGATATTATCTTCTTTATGTCCTCTTTGAAATAACCAAAAATAAACACATACATTTGCTAATGTATTTTTCATTTTGGTGTCAATTCATTTTGATGTATGCGTTATCAAATTTATTCATGAACATAATACACACAAATCTGAATTTCGCATCCACATAAATAAATAATATATTTATGCGTTATGTACAAAATAGAAAACCAAAAATTAAATACAGTTTCATTAATAAATAAAAATATTGTAAAATTATGTTGGAGCTGATATTGTGCTACTGCTAGGCAAGTACCAAGACTACTTAATGTGGGTGTCACGACTCTTGCTGTTTTATAGACTATGGATTGCTTCAATCCAGCCCCATTTTATAAATAATGGAATCTTTAAACTTTATCATGTTATTAAACCATGATATGTTGGTTTTCTTTCTAATCCTAAAATGTAGAAGTGTCTTCGCTATAAATATTTGAATTCTGGAAACTTCCTAAGGTCCGGAAGAACATGAAGACTTGGTGCACAAAAAACAAAAGAGTATTACCACTATTTATACATGGAAAACTTGATAATTAGTTTGACCAATTGTTCACTGTACATACGTCCCTATCATCATTTTTTGGACATTTTTACCCTTAAAACTCTCTCTCTTCCTAATGTTTCTCTTTTCTTTCTCTGGTTTTTTTTCACTTACGACATGAAACAAAATAAACAAAAGCTTAATAATTGCAAAATTATAATAAAATCAAATAAAAATTGTAGATAAGTGAATCTAGTTGGAGAAGCAAAATTGAAGAGTTGTGAGGTTGACTTATGTACGTTGGTGGTTTGGATTCGACGATGAAGAAAAATTGCATGTGTCATTCCGATGTTGTCTTTGATGGTATGTTACTCACTTCCTCCATAGTCAATAAATCGATTTGTCTCCTTTGGTGGGATCATTAATAGTAATTTCGATTCAACGAAAATGAAGATCAAGGTGAACTGTTTTCAATTTGAAAAATACAAAATCCAAGACGAGTAGTGATTTCAATATTCGGCAAAATAGTGGTTAATTCTTACTGGTAAAAATAGTTTGTAAGTGGTGGTGTTTCCAATTTCAGGGTAAGACTCGTAACAGCGGCGGGAAAGATATTACTGATGATGGTGATGAAGATGATATGTGGAATATCACGTCAAGAGAAACATCAATGGACACGATAAGTTATAACTTAACGATTAACAAGTATAATATTGTACTATATATGAGTTACCGAACTAAATTAAGAATAAATAAGTATTTTAACAGTTAAAAATATAGGTAACTTGTTATAAAATGATGTATTTAATATCTTAGCACGTTACAAGTATGTGTAGTCCGTTAATATTATTGTTATCACTATCATTATAAATAATCTCTTTTAATAATTTTTATTAAAAATAATAAAAAATTCATAATATTTGATTTTTTATTAATTTGTATGATATTAAATGGTTTAACACGATAAATATACATTTAGCAAATAATATATGAATTTATCGAGATACTATACTAGTTAACATGTTAATCAAATAGTTATTCGAATCTATCGTGATATTATATTAGTTAACATGTTAATCAAATCGTTATCCATACAAATTACAAAATACTGTGTATAATCCGGTGATAAATAGTGTTCCCGAATTCAAATGAATAGTTTTGTGAGGAGGTTGATGAACAGTATCACGTGTACAGTATCTCGTACTGAACCGTGTTTTTGTAGTGGCATATTGTGTAAATTAAACAAAATAAGAAGGATATGTATGGTTTTAATTTCTTTCTCTTTCCTACTTATTTAATTCTCATATTTCTGTTACCAAATCTTACAATATCTACTCCTCTGTGGTTTTACATTTATATGACCCAAAACAAAAACAACTTAATTTGAATATTTGTACAATTAACAATTTCTATAACAACTAACAATTCTTGATATATTGTTTATACAATTGATTTGCTATCCAATTGTATCTCTCCAATCACACCATCAAACAAAAATAAAAGAAAGAAATCTAACAAAGAAAAGAAATTTGGTCGGAAAGAATAAACATATATGATATATCTTATATTAACAAAAGAAAAGGGAATATAAATACATATTTTTGTCTACTTGTCGTTATGATTTGTGAATATATAGTACGGATGAAGACATGAAAATTAAAACAGAAATAATAGCTCTTTTTTTTTGTTATCTAATAAATAGATTAGAAAATTAATGAAAAGTTACAACACCCCACAGTTAACGGAATAGATTTTACTTTAGAAATGAAGTCGATGAATATTTTCGAAGAAGTCCAAAAAAAAAAGTATCTACAGTACCCTGAGCAATAGGGAAGCCAAAAACCAGAAGGGACCAAATCCAAAACTAATACAAAGAGTTCAAACACTAAATTCGAGAATCTACTAAAAACCACCTCGACCGCATCTAAACCATATAAAAAAAAGTTTGATATAGCGGCTAACCGAAAAGGACGAAAAAATCTACAATAACCGAAAACGGTTCTTCCAATAGTAGATAAAGATTATGTCACTGAACAAGAGTTCCAGTTGAACAAAAGGAAAAAAAAAAGAAAAGAACAAGAGTTCCAAAAAACTATACCAGCAAAGAAGAACTAGGCCGAAATCACAACTTTAGATATGATAGATGATTGGATTAAAACAAATTTTGAGTTTAAGTCTTGATCCAAAATATGATGAAGTGGGACCCATTCCGTGAGGCCAAGTAAATGTCAACTTAAACTGAAACAAAGCGAATCTCTCAAAATATTTTATAGTTCAGAGATGAATAAGTCGCCGTCTTCAGACAACGCGTTTGAGATCTTTCTTCACCTTTGTTCTCATTATAATTATTTTTTCTTCTAATTATTGACATCTAAAACGATGTGTTTCTAGAAGATTGACACATTTGTCTATCTATAATAATATATATTGCATTTCTACCAAACTCTCTTATTCATCTTTGTTTTCAAGAGTGTTTGTTGAAATGTAAATTTCTGAGTATTTTTCATTTGTTTTCTTAGTTTTGACCAAACTATTTTGTTGACTATGTTGCTTGGAGAAGAAGGACAAGAGAGGGAGTGTCATATTTTAAGTTGACTCTTTCTAAATAATATTATCGTTCTCAAATTATTTGTAGATAGGCATGACATCAAGATTTTAGTTGTTACCTTATTGTAGAAATGTGAAATATATGTTTAGATTGTTAGTAGTTCATCCTCATGATGAACTAAGACTGCAAAACCTTAAACCATAAAAAGTTCACAAAACCCTAGAAATGTTCTCTCAAAGTCTCTATTTGGAAAATAGTCATTGCCTACTTCGAAAAAGTGAGAAGGAACACTAAATCAAAAGATAGTCTCTTCATTCATATTTTTGAACTATTTCTTTGTTTAAAACGCAAGAAAAATGGAAATAAAGATCTTTTTTTAGTTCTTCTTAATCATGGGTCTTTTGGAGCTTTAGTCCATAATTTTTCTCAATATCTGAAGACAGATTTTAGATACTCCGATTTAAACAATAAGTGAGTAATCTTTTTATCAATAGAGAATTAATCTGGCGTACAAAAAAAAAAAAACAATTTCCTCTTGTACTATCACTAGACTACTGTTTCTTTGGTACAACTGGAAATAGGTTAATAACAGTTTGATAGGAAAGAATAAATTTCAATCACTATCCGTCTATCCCTTTCTAGAATCGAGATAATGCTTTGTACATCTTTTAAATAAAGCTTGAAAACTAAAAGGATATTCCATTATTATTAATATGTGATGTTTCTTTAATTTGATACCATCCAAGATTTTAACAGAATTTAAGATGTATATTTATTTTCTAAAGCAAAAGTATGTTAAATATTTTACCGAAACGGTATCGTGATTATTAACGAAAACTAGTAGTCAAATTTGACCAGGACACACCACCCTATCCAGCTTGTACTAGAAATGACAAAAACAAAATAGAAGCAAATAAACAAAATAGCTTTATTATTGTTTCTATTAAATTTATACTCAAACTCTCAAATATCTAAAATATTCCCAAAAATACTAAACAAAATTTTATTTTATCAGAAACTTTTTTGGCGTCATTGCATCAGAATCACATGTTTATGGTCCATTGACGTAAAAAGATAACACGTTAGAGAAAGAGGGCAAAAGCTGTCATCGTCTACAATTTTGGAAGCACCCACTACTGACTAAAAAAATCAACTCGTTAATAATTTTCTTAGAAACTACTATCAATAAAGAATAAAATAAGCGTGTGTTATAAAAAATTTACAATGTCAAACCGCGGTTAGGACAAATATAAAGCCACCCCAATAGAATGATTTTTTTGTTTTAAATAGTAGCAATAGTAGTAGTAGTAGGTGAATTTGAATTGAAATTAGTAATCTATAAAGTCTTCTTCCTCTCTCTCCCTCCTCGTGACCTTTAGAAACCGAGTTAATATAACCAAAAACTTTATATTATAAAGTCTTCTTCTCATTTTCTTTAAAAAACCATTCCATCTCTCATTCCAAACCAAAAGCAAGAACAAGAAGAAGAAGAAGAAGAAAAGAAACACAAATCAACAATGGCGGTGAAGAAGAAAGTTTCATGGAGATCATTAATCGTTGGATGTTTAGGAGATCCAGAAACCCTAATGGCTTCTTCAAAGAAACCTAAAAGAAAAGATGACGTCATCAAGAAACAGAGCTCTTTTCAAAGACTATCGATTCTTGATATGAGCAATCCAAGTTCCAACACTTTATCAGAAGATCTATCGATTTCTTTGGCCGGATCAGATCTTCATGTGTTTACCTTAGCTGAGCTTAAAGTCATTACACAAAGCTTTTCATCGACAAATTTCCTCGGTGAAGGAGGGTTTGGTCCTGTTCATAAGGGTTTCATCGATGATAAGCTACGTCCTGGTCTTAAAGCTCAGCCTGTTGCTGTTAAATTGCTTGATCTTGAAGGTCTTCAAGGTCACCGTGAATGGCTGGTTAGTGTCTTTTCCCCTAAATATTTATCTTTTTGATTTGATGGGTCTCTCTCTTATAATGAATTTAATCTTTGTTTCAGACGGAAGTTATGTTTTTAGGACAATTGAAGCACAAAAATTTGGTGAAATTGATTGGTTATTGTTGTGAGGAAGAACATAGAACTCTTGTTTATGAGTTCATGCCTCGTGGAAGCTTAGAGAATCAACTATTCAGAAGTAAGTCTCATTCTCTTTCTCTATGTTTTCTTATTCAGACAAAAATTTGTTGGAACTAAATTTATGACAACTTTCCTATGAATTCCTGTCCTAACAGAATTTTTTTAAATTTTCAGGATACTCTGCCTCGCTTCCATGGTCAACAAGAATGAAGATCGCTCATGGAGCTGCAACAGGACTTCAATTCTTACACGAAGCCGAAAATCCCGTTATCTATCGGGATTTCAAAGCCTCGAATATCTTGTTAGATTCGGTAAGCAAAAAACGTATTTGTTTTAATTAATTTTTACTTGTTGACCAAACAAAAAAAAAAAACAGAACAACTATTCCTTCATCACTTATTTTTCAATTTTCAATTCCTAAAGTTCTAACAAAAGCTCTCATCTCAAATCTTGTTTTCAGGATTACACGGCGAAACTTTCTGACTTCGGGTTAGCCAAAGACGGACCAGAAGGAGACGATACTCACGTGTCAACGCGAGTGATGGGCACACAAGGCTACGCGGCTCCTGAATACATCATGACCGGTCATTTAACAGCAAGAAGTGACGTGTACAGCTTCGGAGTCGTGTTGCTCGAGCTTTTGACTGGACGGAGATCAGTAGACAAAAAGAGATCATCGAGGGAACAGAACTTAGTGGACTGGGCTCGTCCAATGCTCAATGACCCACGTAAACTATGTCGAATCATGGACCCGAGACTTGAAGGTCAGTACTCAGAGACAGGAGCAAGAAAAGCAGCAACATTGGCTTACCAATGTTTAAGCCACCGACCCAAGAACCGGCCTTGTATGAGTGCCGTCGTCTCTATACTCAATGATCTTAAAGACTACAATGATATTCCTATGGGGACATTCACTTACACGGTGCCAAACACTCCGGACAAGTCAGTCTCGGACAATAAAGAAGATGAAGGTCGTGTTGGTAATAAGCCACGTAAGAGTAGTAATCATCATCATCAACAACAAAGTAATCATCCCCGGTCGTCACCATCACCAATGGCCAAGTCTCCATCGCCGACGACCAAGTCGCCATCTCCCACGGCCAAGTCGCCGAGGAATTCAAGAGAAAACCACCGGAGAACATTGAGAAATGGAGTGGATTCGCCGTTGAGAAGTGAGGCAGGTGGGGAACGGTACTGAATTTTCTAGTCTCACCTACTCTTAAAATTCTTTTTTTTTTTAATTAAATCTAATGTAAATAATTAATACGTTTGTCCTTTCGTAATGTAAAATATATAATTTTTTTTTGTGAAAAATATTAGATGGTCTTTTCGTTGGGGAGAAAAATTTGAGTTTACTTTTTTTTTAAAGTCTTTTTGTTTTGTTTTGTTCGATCAAATCAAAGCAAGAAGAGCGGTCCAATGTGACATTCTTTTGTTTATGAACAACATTTCGTCGTCTAAAGAAAGACGCGTTATTCACCGCTCGTTTTTGTACTTCGTTTCCTTAAATGGAAAATGCCCGATCTCTCTTTTTAATAAATATTTGGTATTGTATTTTCTTTTAAGATGTATCATATTGGACCAATTATATATGCGTTTTTAATAATCTGGCTAAATGTTTTTCGAAAATTTACGGCTATTAAGATATCTTTGTGTATCGTAACACCAGTTATAAAATGAAACATTGATATATGATTGAATTCTTTCTATGCATGATTTAGTTCAAGTGGTGGAAACTCTTTACAAGTATCATAGAAATCGAATAAAGACTTAACGAAAAAAAAATCAATGGAAGTTCTTGCTTTATTCGTATTCAAAGTTTTGTGTCTTCTCACAACCTAGTGGATCAGTCTCATAAAGTATATGTAAATCACGTCTAATAATATAATGGAGATTTATAAGGTGGATATTAATTATTCTACAAGTTTTGCATCACATTTGAATTATTTGTAGATCACGACTAATCATCTGCCGTGGACGTGAAAGCACCCCAACACATTTATAGCATCAAGCTAAGTGGCATGGATATTGCAGTTTCACGACAAAAAAAAAAAAAGAAAGAAAGATAATTACATTATTTTTATCGACGATTTCCAATCACTCTAGTTTTCACAATTTAGCATGCATATACAATTTTAGAAATTTCTAGAGTGTTAATTACGTATATCTAATATTATTGATGATTATGGTTAATTTAAGTCTTTTGGGAATTGCATCTACGGTAGTTGTATATTATCGAGATTTGTCTAAGGTTTTATTTTAGGGGTACAATTTGCGAGAATTCTCAAAGAACAAAAGAACAAGTGGTAACCAAAGATGGTGTTCTTGATATGATTGATGAATAAAGTAACTTTGATTGTACAGAGGATTAGATCGTAAAAGAAAAGTGTTTTTGCTTAAAAGCTTTGTGTAGTCTAAAATCTAGGGCGATTTTGCTTGCCTTTTCTGTGAGAGCCTTGAGTCTCTTTATATAGGGATGATAAATCGCCTCTCCAGCGATATTCTCGGAAGATTTCCATTTATCTTGAAGTCGGCGTAGAATATCGCGGATTAGGATACTTTCCTTATTCTTCGGAGTCTTTTGGAAGATTTCCTGATTCGAGTTGATCCTACGAGATTCTTCTTTATCATTTCCGAACATTTCGAAAATGATCCTTCTTCGTCGGAAATGATCCTTTGCTTGGAAATGGTACTTCGGAGGTGAATATTCTACTAAGTCCTTGCCTCGGATGATTGACAACTTCATCTCAGGTAGCTCGGAGGGCGACGTCGTGACACACAGCCCGAGCCGAGGCGTCTTTGAGATGATTGTGCTCGGGTACCCGGAGATGATGGGCTCGGGTACCCGAGCTATCTGACAGATCTTACCCCGAAGCAATCCTGAGCGTTCCCGAGGTGATCCCGGTATCCTCCGAGGCGATTGCGATGCTTTCCCGATGTGATTGCCAAACGGCCCCGAGGTGATTGGCACGTTGTACCGAGGTGCGCTCTAAAGTATTCAAATTCTGGCTCGGTACTAAGGGATGAAATCCGACCCCAACAATCACTTTGAATCATTTGGATACAGCTTGCGCATTTAGTTTCTTATAATAGTTTTATATCTAGATTAGGCGTGCATGTTTATATATTTATAAATGGGCAGACAAAAATATCTGAGACCATATTGATCTTCATTGTTTGTAAGAGTCAATTTGACAGATAAGCTAACGATTGTATAAAGTCTCTGAACTTTCTACCAGTTACCTACTAATCTCCCACTATCCCCATTTGCTAATTTAAAATTACTATCATTTTATGCGAAGTCTTAGTAATACAACTATTTATTGGAATAAAATTGACCGTAAAATTTATGTTTATAACCATTACTTGAATTGTAAACCTGATGAATACTAATATGTTATTTCTTGTATTAGGGGCCAATACTGGAATAGAATATATTAATATATTAGTATTTAAATATATAAAATTTTGATATATTATTTAAAAATTTATGAAGATATTAATTATATTCTAAACTTTCTAGTTTCTAGTATTATTTCCAGGTTATTAGAACTTATTGTATTTTAATTAGCTTAAGAATATAAATAAAAACTGAGTGGTCAAATTTTTTTTCGAGTTCTCAAAACTTTCTTAGGATATTGGATGGATGCCAAAACATAATTCATATATAGTTAAAATAAATTATATATATTGATTATGGTATAAATAACATAGTAGTTTTTTTTTTTTTTTTTTTTTTTTTTTTGTTAAAGAATAACATAACATAGTAGTTGGCAGGCCTTTTGTTTAATGGGTTTGTCTAGATGATACCATATACTCTATCCGGGCTCATATCCAAAGTTCTGCAATTTGTAATGGTGTGATATATTGAAAATGTATGTTTACAATATTGTTTATCTAAAACATAATCTATGAAGAAACTTTAGAGTTTTTGTATTCGAGTTAGTTTCAAAGCAAGTGTTCAATTTAGCAAGCTGAAGTTTACATCGAAAATGGTTCATATAATCGAGATTGTCAAAATTGGGTGCATTTAGTTCAAAGAGAGGTGGTCCAACAATTGGGTATGTAACAGTGCAAGCAAAAAATAACACTCGAAACAAAAGTTATTGGGAATATAAATTAGAACACAACAATGATTTGACAAGACTGAACATCAAAGGACCGTCGAATCTTCTTGTCATCTCAATTCTTTGTTTGAGCAACACATCGTTGTTCTTGGGCATGAAACCCTTTCTCGAAAAAAACACATTATTCTTGAAATGGAACTTTTCCACCGTATTGTAGCCCTAATATGCGATGATAATTAGACCAATTAAAGATTACAAATATGCTTTATATAACTTCCTCGTACTTAAACAATAAGGTCATGTAAGAATATACTTTTTTTTTTTTTGATAACTGCAAAATTTGGATCAAAACTTCCTAATCTCTCGAGGCCGATAGTCAGGCTATACGCCATTTCCTTTGAAAGTGCTCCTTTTCCCAAGTAGACTCTAATCCATGACCTCTTTATTAGTGTTTTTATTCTTTTTTTTACAAACGAGAAACTGAAGCCAATTGTTTGTTCGTTATATTTACGAAGCTAAGATCAATATAGAATTCGAAATATGATATACGATATTATATTTAGCGGCATATGTAAATATATGTTTACGTTTCTTTTCTAAAACATAATCCATGAAAAAAATCTTTATTTTGCCGCTAAAGGGAATCAATATTGAATGTTTGTTTAATAGTGTATGCTATGTCGTAAATATATGTTTACATTATTTTTCTAAATCATAATCATGAAACACATAAAATGTTTTTTGTACGAGTTGATATCAAAAGTAAGTGTACAAATTAGCAAGCTGAAGTTTGAAAATAAAATAAAAAGTATTGGAAAATATTTATATGGTGTTCCAAGAAATAAGCCCAAAATTTCACAGTATGAATCACTTTTTTTATCAAAAGCTTAATCGTCCTAAACATGTGTGTTAATGTAATAATAATAAAAAAGTGTGTTTATGTCGTGTCCATGGAAAGTACACATTAAAAAGGAAAAATATATTCTCTATACTTTGATTCTTTAGTCTTGTTTCTTTTGTATTTGATATCTCACTTTTATTAAATAAAAGCAAACGAATTATTTTTATTTTCTAAGTGCATAAAGAGATAAGTAAGTGGATTGTTATATTTGTAATCTATTGCGTGAGACACGGAGTAGTGATGGTTGGAGCATATATGAGATCAAAGTGCAACACTAAGGTCACAATCATTGAATTTGACACTCTCTAGTCTGTCTTCCAATCTCTCTATCAATTTCTTCTTAATTTTTTATAAAGTCAGGATGCCACTGAAAATATACTTCTTCATCTTATATATTGGATTTTGGTGCAGAGTGAGATGTTAAAACCTATATTGGCTTTGATTGTGAACCATGATGTGGTATATGACATATCGCTTTGACAATTACTAATAATAAAGACGTTACTAAAAGCGTTATCAAAAGCGTTATTCTCAGCTATTTTGTACATTTTTATGTACTACTTCTTACAGTTTTTTTACTATTCCGTAAAGGTTGACCGTTTCAGCTACGGCTAAATTTTGTGTACAGCTTTAGGTTACCAATCAGATCCATTATAAACATATGCATTACTAGTTTCCGGGAAAAAAGCACTTTTCGACACCTATGATTTTTAAAATGCATTTTAATACTAATTTGTATCCAAACGCCAAAAAATTTACATTACATATTCCAATTCCCAAATTTGTGTGTACCCTAGAATCATCCTTAATATATATTGGTCAACCGTTACGAATGCTAACTCAACTGACACGTGTAGGTCGAAATAAAATTTTTGTTTCGTAAAACAACGTCGTTTTAAAAAAAATTTTGAATAAGAAAATTATATTGAGGAATTTTGTAAAAATACTTTAAATTATTGTTGATTTCAGAAAAATACACCATTTTAATATTTTTTTGAAATCTACTCTTTTCCATGTATTCATTTACTAAGATATTCTCATTAAAAATTAATAACTACTAATTTATCCAACACTTAAAATGAAAATACCAAAACATTTGATAATAAAAATATTAAGTCAATAACATATCTTTATCTCAAACAATAATAATACTAGTTTATTTGCAATTTTTAGTTTATTAAAGATGTAAAATTTCCATTAAGGATAAAAATGTCTTGTCATATAAAAAGTTAGTTTTGTAAAAAAATCCAAACAAATATTAGTTAATTTTTTTATATATAAATGCATTTTATAAAGAATCCTAATTATATATGTAAGGCTTAATACCATAGTTTAAAATAAATAAATAAAAATCTTCATTTCTGGTCAACAAATATATTTAGGTTAAATACAGGCGATCTTTGATCCAGAAGATATCACGCTAATAAGTGCCTTACCTGTGGGTGCGCCAACTAAGGAAGATACTCTGGGTTGGTATTTTACAAAATCAGGAAAATATACTGTTAAATCGGGATATCATACTTCACGGATAGAATAGTTGGAAATCAATGTAGCCTATATGGGCCCAAACAT